ATTACAAATGTCCAGGGCATTTAATTGAGTCAAAGATGAACAATTTGTCTCAATCAACATGTGGTTATGAATTTCAAGTAACGAAGTTACAATGTATGTGAACCTGATTGGAAGACAACCCGTCATGCGTTCTAGTTTGGCAGATTACATTTTGACGCAAAGAGATTTTGTGACCCGCCGAAAACCAATTCGAGATGGGTTGCCTACAATTCGGAGGTAATTGTAATGTGTAGCTTCGTTATATTAAAATTCCCAACTATTCCCACTTACAGTGTTATTCTGGACCCGTTACATGACTTCGAAGTTTATAACATTTATTTTGAGACAGTCTGCATTGGTACCAGTTATGTTAAGATCTTTGCAATCAAGGAAAAGAAGTAACGGTTATCTTTGCAAGCATGTGCAACATCTGGGTTTGCAGAAAATAATTAACTTACCTTGATAAGTAAATTAGATTAAACATGAGTGACAAGTGAAGTCCCAAGAAGGAATGGATGATTAATTCGTTTGAAAAATCGTTTAACCAATTATATATGGAAAAATCACAAAACAAAAATTCTATAAAATTGTTTTACAGATATTACTCATGCATAATCATTAATATTCCGAATAATAATTAATTAGTGAGCTTCTTTTGTACAATTTGTTTTAATGGGTCAAGTTCAGTTCACGCCATGCTTCTGATAGTTATATAACTCAATTAGCAATTTTCTGAATCAAATCATGTTCCGCAACAGATGGTTATGTTTTTGAACACACTAGGCTGGATATTATTCTTTGCAAATCAAGGAGTTTGGAAGAACATCAATGAAAGTGACATAATTTCTATAAACATCTTACAGGAAGAAAAAAAATAATATCTCGTAGAAGTAGATGATGTTCGATAAAGAGTGTGAATATAGCAAATCACTTGAAGAGATGAGCCTTGGAACCTAGGTGGAGTCTTCTTTTTATTTATTATCTTTTGTGCGTCATGAATAAGGAAAATGAAATATAAATTATTTCCCAGTTAATGGCATGAAAAATTAATCCCTTTAGTTTGTACCCGGTTAGTAAAGAAGTATACAATTAATTCTAACATAAATATTTCAAACTAGAGGATCAGCATGTTATTTAATTCTCAGAAGTTAATAGAAAATAATATTTGCCTTCTAAATTCTCAAGTTCCCAATAAACGTTTCGAAATATTGCTATAATTTGAACGCGTAGCTTAATCATCACAGACCTGTCTTACTCTTTAAAAATAGAGGTCATACACTTTTCTTTATCATGCTGTTTTTCCAATTTTCTATCAGAGTAATCCTTGGTAAGATTCAGAACAATTTAACTCATCGATCAATGTCGTATTCATCTCGACATCTGTATTATCATAGACGGGCAAATGATGGACGACTGCAGCATAAGTTGCACACTGATGGAACTAATTTGAAGATAAATAATTAGCAAGTTTACGTAGAATAAGTAAGGTCGTATTGATTGATAATTAAGGATGTGACTCCCAAACTAAATTCGAAAATATTTTATGTTGGTTATAGTTCGTGTGGTGTGTTCTTCTGCGGTGTGATGAATAGAAAATATCATTACAAGCTAGAGAACACCAAGTACGATGCTTTTTAATCTCGGTATATCAGTTGTCACTCAAGCGCATTACCAAAAGATTGATGTGCACAGCTTTATCGCAATCTCGAGTGTTAATCATATTCTCTTTGTTCCATCCGCCAGAAAAAATCTTATTTTTGCACTCAAAAGAACTCATATTGCCAAGGTTATTCGTAGCTTTAGTTCTAACACGAACAGACTATTCGGGATGACAGACGAATTTGTCTTATTCGCCATTCAGAGCCAGCAAGTAATAATGACAGCAAAAAACTCTCTCCAAACATCAAAATAAATTTTGGATATAGCAATGTACGATGCATGTTTGACAAAAAGATTAGTGTAGATTTTCTGAGCCATCTATTGATATTTGACAAACTGTAATAGTGGGCAGAATAATGAATTTAGAAATCAGAATTACGCATAACCTACTAATTACTATTTATTTATTTATTTATTTATTTATTTAGTTACATCAAAAACAGTAAAATCTGTACGAGCTTTTGCTAGATGCACAAGCTTCCTTTGGAGATTAGAGACAAAACAATGGACCATCTGAGCATTCGCTCAATTAATGAAGGGAAACTGGAAAAAAATTCTATTAAAGTGGAAATTATTGGGCCACGAGAAAACCACAATCATAATCTACACAATGTGATCAAAAGCATCCGGACACGTGACTTACCAGTGAAAATGACTTACCAGTTCGTGGCGCCCTCCATTGGTAATGCTGGCATTCAATAAACTATTGAACTAACCTTAGCCTTGATTCCACTCTCGCAGGCATACTTTCAGGTGCTGGAAGGTCTCTTGAGGAATGGCAGCCCATTCTTCACGGACTGCTGCACTGAGGAGACGTATCGATGTAGGTCGGTGAGGCCTGGTCGGTGAGACGAAGTCGAAGTTCTAAAACATCCCAAAGATGTTCGATAGGATTAAAGTCAGGACTCTGTGCAGGCCAGGCCATTACAGGGATGTTATTGTAGTATAACCATCCGCCACAGGCCCTGCAGTATGAACAGGTGCTCGATTGTGTTGAAATCGCCATTTCCGAATTGCTCTTCAACAGGGGGAATCAAGAATGTTTTTAAAACATCAACGTAGACCTGTGCTGTGATAGTGACACACACAACAAGGGGTGCAAGCCCCTTCCATGAAAAATATGACCACACCCTAGCACCATTTTGGACGTGTCCGGTTACTTTTGATCGCATTGTGTACTATACGTAGGTCCTTACAATTGTAATCTATTGCATAGGCACTTTCTATTCTTACGAAAGCTCTGCAAAAAGCACCTCTCGTGGCCGATCGACTATCTCTCGACTAGCAGAAGACACTCGAGTGTTTTCTGCGAACAGTTGCGACCGATCAAGCGCTGAGAACCGTTCGGATTGTTTGATGATTTCGGGCGCGTCAACTCCTAAAGTAATTAGTCCCGTAAGTGTAATAGATGTTTTCAACGCGGGAGGTGGCGGTGATCTTCCCCCGCCGGATGGCGACCTACGCCGGCTAGGGTGGATTTTCTCCAGCCACTATCTCCCCCCACCAGCGTGGCACCGCCCTAGCTGGGACAAGCTCTAAGCTCCTGACCGGTCATGTGTGATAGTGAAGTGCATGTCAGTGAAAGTGTGTGTGTGTGTGTGTGTGTGTGTAAGTAAAAGGCGAGGATAGGACAAGGAAGAGAAAGGAGATATTGCGTGCGGTCCGTGGCCCGTTTGTTAGGGTACTGCTCCGGTATTAGCCTGACGTTGATTGGAGAAACCAGAAAATATTATTCCGAAATGCACACAGAAAAAAATGGTGTTTTATGGTTACATAATGTTATTTTAAATCGGTTAAATTAATGGTAAACTTATCACAGATGAAATGTATTGCAGCAGATTTCAAAGTTTTGTATTCCTGACCTTGCAAGTTGATTCGCAATCATCTCTGGTTGCTAAACTAAATCTGAGGATCAGTGGTGCAACGAATAGAATACTCACTCTCGCGTCATCTTCGACAAGCCACGCGCACCTAAGATAATTCTTGTGCAAACGTGCTCCAACGACCCAGGAAAGTAGGATAGAATTCCCGTCCTAACAGCGAAGCAGCATAATCCAGTTATCTCGATTTTCCTCCTCTGAAATCCTTCTTTTCCTTTACTTATAACTTAAGAAGAGCCGACGCCTTTATAAAGTTTTGCATGGTCTCCAGAAAAGAACAGAACTTGTAAAGTGTCTGTTAAAATAACGCCACTAGCAGTTTATCGTGGCTAATTCTGTTCTGTAAATGACAACAGAATCTGTTCCTCCATACACTACGCACAACTTCTCAAACTAATGACGGTTGTTTTACTGTTGATTTCAGTTTAACAGATCCCTACTCCAAACTATTCACTACAAAACATCATGTCGGAAAAACTTACAGGGATTGACTTGTGGTAAATAGAAGCCCCTGTTGTAAATTATCTCAGTTTTACCAAATTTCTTTTCAAATTAACGGTGTTTGCTTTCCAGTGGATCGTGGTTATTGAAGACTCTTGAATGTGGGTACGTAAAGGACAATTCTGTTCTCCGAAACACGTTATAAACGTTATAAACAAACAGGGTTCGCCTTGCATATCACGGTTATTGGAGTCCTTTCAACAACGTTTGGTAGAACAATTCTGTTCTCCTAAATACTGTTGCTTTTAAATTAAGGTATCCTGTCTTGCAGTTGGTCACAATTATTGGAGTTCCTCAAATGGCTGTCTGTAAAGAACAATTTTGTACTCCGAAAAACTCTAGCTTTTAAACTAACGTATCTTGTCTTGCAGTTGATCACGGTTATTGGGGTCACTTAAATGGGGGTTTGTAAAGGACAATTCTGTTCTCTGAAAACATGTAGCTTTTAAACGGATCAGTAAAGAACAATTCTGTTCCGAATTTGAAAGACGAAACGTAGTGTATCGAAGAACGGAACAATTCTGTTCCGGTCTCCGAAACACTGTATATATCAAAGTAACGGCGCATGCCTAGAAGTTAATCGCGGTTTTTGGATACAATTAAACGACGATATGTAAACGACAAGTCTGTTCTCCTTAACTCTGTAAGTTTCAAACTAACGGAGCTTGTCTTGCAGCTAATGCAGTTACGGTTATAGCAGTCCTTTAAATAACGGTATGTAAGGACAATTGTGTTTTTCGTAATACTGTAGTTTTTAATCTAACGGATCTTTCCTTGCAGTTGGTCGCGGTTTTTGGAGTTCCCTTACAAGAAAAGTCTGTAAAGACAATTCTGTTCTCCCAAATGCTGTAGCTTTTAAACTAACGGATCTTACGTTGTAGTTAATCACGGTTATTGCAGTCCAATAAATAACTGTCCGTAAAGGACAAGTCCGTCCTCCCAGACCCTGTTCGTTAGCAACTAACGGCGCTTGCGTTGCAGTTGATCGCGGAAGCCGCCGCCGGCGACGCGGCGCCGCCTCTCAACGGCGACCTGCACGATTTCCTGTCGCTGCTGCTAGCGGCCCCGCCGGGGGCGTGCGTGTGTGGGGCGCAGGCGGCGACGGCGGCTGCTGCTGCGGCTGCGGCGGCGGGGGCGGCGGGGGCGGACGCCGGGGCGAGCGGCGGCGGGGCCGAGGACGAGCACGGCGGCGGCGGGGCGGCGGGGCGGGGGGCGGGGAGGTGAAAGCCAGGGGTCGACACGTGCTGGGGCTGTGGTTGCGCGAGATGAGCCGCGCCCTGCGCGACACCGCCGAGCACATGCGGCGCGAGCTGAGGGGCGTGGCCGAGCGGGTGGAGCAGCTGGCCGAGAGGGTGGCGGCGGTGGAGAGGGCCCAGCAGCGCACCAACGACATCCTGCTGCACGCGACCAAGCGGTGAACCTCACAGATCTGCGCAGCCTAAGAGGTAATGCAACCGCAGTGTTAAACGCATATGCGCCGATTTCACTAATAATTCTCCAATTAGCCGCTTAATGTCCATTGATTAATTGACTAGTTAGTGATACCGGACGCATCAACTACTGAGGTCATGACTCCCGTAAGTGCAGTGTACGTTTTAATCGCGGGAGGTAGCGGCTATCTTCCCCGTTGGATGGCGAGCTCCACCCCCGACCTAGCCTACGATAATGCTTTACTACAATACTTTCGTTGTGCACAGGAGGTCAAGTGAGATTTAAATTTTACCATTAAATTTTAATTTCAAAATTGAAATGTCACTTATCCCCCTTCGCGCAATGATAGTACCGTAGGAAAGCAATGTCCTCATATACTCACTTTGCCAAAAACTTGACTTATACCCTTTTACATGCTCGCCTTTCGTGATGTATTACGTATAGACTTATGCTCACTTAATATTAATTAGCCTGAAAGAATGGCAAGTCCCAACAAGGTGAATAAGGGGGCCGCATGCGACTGCACAATAATAAAATAAAACAGCCAAAAGGTTTACACTTTTCATTTACTTTTTAATTTATGTCAGTTGCATCTTCTTTGAAATGTTTTCAGTGTCATTTAATAGTAGATTAATATCCACTAAAACGTAGGAATTGCTCCCAATACTGCTTATCTTATATCACTAATTTAAAAACGTATTGTGTCACCTTTAAATGTGTTTAGAACAATCTGAATACGTGAAGTTCATACGTTAAATTTGTCCATTTAACTTCGACTATTCAGTTACGGCGTTATCGACGATAACGATCTACATGTGTTTTGAGCAGAAAAACACGATTTATCACATCAGATCTTCTCCACACTGGATACAATTCACTAACCCGATACTATCAATCAGCCGCATCTCGATGCGATGGTTTATTATCGCAGTTTAAGTACGCATCTTTTGGAATGAAACAGATGTTAAATGCAATTCCATCCGAGAAAAAAAAACTTGCCAGAACTAGACCAGAATATTTACTAGTTTATACTACTAATATATTTGGTTCTGGGACGGTGTATCTAATACCTTCCTGAGAGAGGCAGAGGAGAAACAATTTGATACTGACTCGTTTTATGACACTTCCGTCTCAAGAATACGGTACACGGAATACGGTAAATCTAAGAATTCCTGTCATCTAGAAAGCCGACGAAGCCCTTTATTTTAAGAACGCTCAACACGGTTTTTACTACCAAATGATATTCTATGTAATAATACAATGTGTTTCAATTATAAAATACATGTCCACACAAATACTTTCAGTGGAGGGTACAATCTAGTTCTATTATTTGTAATGGGTACCTAAACGTATAAGAAACATACTACCTAATTGCAAATTTTGTACTACTATTATTTTAGCTACCGTGTGCAAATCTCTCTTCATCAAACTGCTTGAAACACAGAACTCATTAATTATCTTCTGAAACTTACTTTATAGATAACATTCACTTTTTTGTTGCATACACGATGAATACTGGATTTAGAAATATATATACGAATAACATTCAACAGCATTAATTGACACAGCAACAATACTAAACATTTTTTTGAACTTTAAATATATTCATCCTCCCACTATTAATAAATAACATCCTGAAAATTTATTAACTCTTGTAATTAATTAACTCTTACAATGTTCTTCGACATCGATTTTTTTACCATGTTACATACATTAGCATTTACGTGTACGAGAAAATAAAAGCTGGAAAATTTGAAAACTGTACTCACACAGAGAGAAGAAAAGATGTTATTACAGCGTGGGTTTCGGAATACATTGTTAATGGTCCATTTCCTTTCAGACTTCGTGTGCGCTTTTGGCAGCTTTTCAATAGCAGGCACTACACCAGTCAGATTCGATCGTGTTCGGCACTAAATATGTAGACGAGAGGGAGCCTGTATTCAGGGTAGTCTCTTAACAAAGACCTGCTGAACATGCATTCAGTGTAAGAATTGTAGTATTGAAAATGTTGGATTGTACTAACGTTAATTGACAGGATGATGACTTAGTTATTACTAAGACATGTATTCTTAGGTTGAAACTTATTCTGTTCCAATGTATATAAGACTTTTCTTTAGTTTTATATTCCAACTTAACATTCGTACATTTTATAGGATCTAAGGATCTAATTTGTCCTGTTGAACGAACCTAATTTTCTTTTAGAAACTTTACGTGTTATTAGTAAACTTAATCTGTGAGTGAGTTATGTTCTTTGCGGCCTTGAATCTTAGGGAAATTGTTGATAGCTTAGGTATTCGCACTTACATAGTATAGAAAGGCAGTCTTCCGCAATCAAGCAGATTTTAACGAAGCACGGAAGAGTGTTTTTCGTCGTCTGTCCAAGTACTTCATTGTGCAGTCTCATTTAAAGAAACATTAATTTCTACAATTAAGTAAAATACGAATATGAATATCAGAAACAACATATGATGTGTGTTATAATTGTGTTTTGCGTGGAAACCTAGAATTTTCAAAATGAACATTTAAAACTCTAAAATATTGATTGAAAAACTTAATTAAAAAATATTTAGATGCTAATATTTTAGTTCTCAACAATAAATACTGTACCGTAGCCTGCAATGAAATAATTACGAAGAAATATACGTATGGGTATGAATTTTTGGACCCACATTGTAAGGACCTGACTCTCTTCTTTCTGTATGAGTCCACTTCTTTAGTTTTACTGATGAATTGTGATAAGTTCTAAAGGGAATAGTAATGATGCTTGCTGAATAATTTATGTGAAAGTATTCGGAATTCAATTTAATTAGTTGAGTAGCGTAATTGCAAATAATGGATTCTATCTTTTGAAGTGATTTTTTGATTGATTATTATAGTATATTGCATGAAGAATTTGAATTGGAGATTCGTTTGTTAATAAATGTACGTGACAAAATATCCAAAGCAATCATGATTTGGCAATTGGAAATTTATCTAGATACAAAACCTCCGAGTCCAAAATAGCTTGGTGACAAATAGTAGCCAACTCCAATTTGCACCAATCTCAACATTCCTTTTCCAGGTAAACTACCCACTCAATCGTAGCAATTAAGATTGAAATATGGAAGTCTCCAATGTCTGCACGTGTTGTATACATTTTTGTGTATGTTATATAGACATTAATAAATAAAGATTTTTTCTCTCTCTCAAATGTCGACATCACGCACGTCCTGGCTGTAAGGCGGGTAGTATCGGGGTCAGGCGAGGTAGCACAGGACGAGGACGATGGCAGGAAACAGGGCGTGTTTAAGCTCGCCAGAGCAGGCAAGGGTAAAGCAGACCACGCCAGGCCAAACTAGGAAGAGAATTCACTAGAGACATGCATTTCATTCCCAGTCTGAGTAGATGAATAAAGTAAATAAATATCCAGACAAGTAAAATAATTCAGTTTTAACTTTCCGGGCGATTTTCATCGCACGTGTTTCCACTAGTAATCAACATTCGGTTACGTAACTACTGCAAGTGTTCATGAGAATTAATGATTTTGGGTACTGCTTTGAAATTACCAGTCAGGGTCTCACCAGGGAGCTGAATGCAAATGCATGGATGAGAGTGTTTTAGATGATAACTTAGACATTGTTTAAGTGGTAAAATCATATTTGTAATTTATTGTTCATGTCATGCGTTATTTTTATTATCTTAATTTTATTGTCTTGTAAATTTGGTACCATTTGGGCGAAATTAAAGAAGTTTAGTTTTCAATTTGCATTAAAATGTGTATTAAATTTATTTGAAAATAATAGTTGTATTAGTAACAGGTGTTTTCATTGTATGAGACGTGTAAAATATTAAAGACGGTTTTTAAATAGGCTTTTACAAATAAAACACGCAATAGCTGTTCGAGCATTTTGGCAATAAAATCGTTTTACACATCTTTGTAAATAAGATGGCCAACTGCAGCCTATACTTCAAATATGATTTTCCATTCAACTTTAATAGAAAGTAACCTCTAAATCGTATTTTATGCTAACGAAAAGCCCTTATACACGCACCTCTAAATACTCTTACTTTCTGAACATGTCAAGTGTATTGAAGTAATTTAATATAAATAATATAGACATTTAAATAATCAACAAAGTATGATGGCGAAAAACATGTGTGAAATAAGTTCTTTGCATCTTCTGAAAAAAATGAGAAATGAGGTTGACCATCTTTATAAATACAATACTCAACTGTAAGGTGCTTCGGAAATTCAAGTGATCATTTATAAAACCATTAGTATTTCTACGGATATTTCCCATCCCTTATACTGCTCTCTCATCCCGTCTTCGGAACATGGCTTCTTACTGAGAAAGGTGCACAAACATACACACATTCTCAGAAACGTATCAAACAAGCATGATGAGATGCCTCGCAGCACAGCAACCCCCCCCATTTTTGGTCCATATATTTTTCAATTTACTCCAAAATTCTGGGTTATATTATACTCAAATGTGCAATAGAATTCTTCATATTTCTGTTTTCGCTTTGTCGACTTACTTCACAAATTTTCTGCATTAAAAAAAACTTCCGGACACAGTGTGTATAGGAATAAAACACTTTCTGAAATGAATAGTTCTGTTCTCATTGCTTTCATCCGAAACTGGTAAAGGGTTAACACGTGTTAACTTAGGTATGTCGGTTATCCAGACTCATTCGCAAGTCACTTTTGTAACCTTTTCACTAATAAACGAGTAGAAAAAAAACAAGTGTTCATTAAAATCTCAAGCCCATGTTGACATACCTTCCAGGGAGTTGGCTTATCATGTAAGTTGCTTTGTAACTTATCTTTTGTTCTGCAACTCTCTCTTACAAGCCTGCAAGTATCCATTGCAATCAATGAGGTAACTCATTTGGGTCTCTCACCTTAGGGGAGTGGTTTATGTGTATATAAGTATAATAATAATAATAATAATAATAATAATAATAATAATAATAATAATAATAATAATAATAATAAGTGGTTGTTACATGCATTGTATACATTTGACGCGGTTACCGACTTAGAACAGAAACGAAGCTAATGAAGTACGAAAGTGCACTGACCGGAAAAGAGTTGTTAGAAACGAGAACTGCAACCTGCGTAGGGTATCTAGGCTTATCTCGAGATGATGCTTAGATATACGCTCACGAAAGATGAATGGGAATTCGACTGACAGTTCGGTTTGCAGACACGACTGCACGTCTCACCGCAAAGAACGAAAGAGTACGAAAACAAAAACAAATCCTTGCTTGTAACCACAGACATACACGGAGGCCACCCCCACACCTTCTAAACGGTTCACGATATCGAAAGGCTGAATCATAAGGCAAGGAATATGACGTGTATGACGTATTTTTAGATTTCGAAAAAAATTAATCATCTTTGAATTTTTAAAGGAAACCATGTGCTTTTTCTCACTAGCAAAAAATACACCATGTGATCAAAAGTATCCGGACACGTGACTGAAAATGACTTACCAGTCCGTCGCGCCCTCCATCGGTAATACTGGAATTCAGTAGGGTGTTGGCCCACCCATAGCCTTGATGACAGCTTCCACTTTCGCAGGCTTACTTTCAATCGGGTGCTGGAAGGTTTCTTGGGGAATAGCAGCCCATTCTTCACGGAGTGCTGCACTGAGGAGAGGTATCGTTGTAGGTCGGTGAAGCCTGGCACGACGTCGGTTTTCCAAAAAAAATCCCACAGATCTTCGATATGATTCACGTCAGGACTTCGTGCAGGTCATTCCATTACAGGGATGCTATTGTCGTGTAACCACTCCGCCACGGGCTGTGCAGTATTAACAGGTCGTGTTGAAGCAATCGCCATTCCCAAATTGCCTTCAACAGTGGGAAGCAAGAAGGTGTTTAAAACTTCAACGTAGGCCTTTGCCGTGATAGTGCCACACAAAACAACAAGGGATGAAAGCCTTCTCCATGAAAAACACGACCTCTCCTAACACCATTTTGGACGTAACCGGATACTTTCCATCACATAATGAATATCATAAAAAGAGGAATTCAGTGATGTAACATATGTTTAATGTTTTAAAATATTTTGAGAATAATTTCAGACAAGTGATTTTAAATTAAACGTTCAATGTCTCCTGTAGCAGCCCTTGCAACAGTCGCTTTTGAGAAGGTGACCCTTGCGGCCCTTCCCTTCACCCCCAAAAGTGCCTCGTCGCGAAGACCTCTTTTCCCAAAGACATTAGTTCTGCCCTCGTAACAATAGCTATTAATTTAGAAAGTATTCAAATTTATTTTGAGAATCAGTGAAAGGAATGGAATGTGTTTTTGTTCAAACGTGCAAGATACCGTCCGTATTAGTGTGGGCATAATTTTGTCAAAGCCGAAGGTTTTACAGTTTTTGTGCAAGGTGGCACGGATTAATAATATTTATTAAACGCTCTAAAAACTTGTACTGTGTATTTTGTGTTGTATATTTGTGTATTTTTGAAAAATTTTTGTATGATAAGTGGTTGATTGAAGAAACTTAGGCCTTGCCATAATTGCGACCTACTTCCTAGTTTCCAACTAGATCAAACTTTTCATCTATTTCATTTTGGTTTTTTAAAAAGAGTAAAGGGTATACTCTTACGTCACTATTTGACAAGTTCAATCAGGGATTGAGGGAACAATGACAGGCTTTCAGATATTCTGAACAAGAATGGCGATAACAAATATTTTTGAAGTAAAATGTAATTCTAATTTCCAGACATCATACACCATGCTGCCAAAATTTCTCAGCTGCTGGATTACTGCAAATCAAGGCTAGAAATGTGTTGAAGAAAATTCTCAATGAGAGTCAGTTTTCTACACATGTTACCAAATGGACTTTTATCATATTTGGTTAATTTTGTGAATGCAAGTGAGATATGGGAGACACGGTGAGCTTTGCTTTTAAATGATCAAATTTCTAGTAATATAAAGTTATCAAAAATGAAAAAAAGCTATATTAATTTACCTAATCTGTAATAGTTCTTTAAATATTGGTCACTGTTTCTAATACATGTCAGTTACCTTATATCGTTGGTGCAAGAATAGTTACTCGTCTCAAAAACTAATTTTTTAATTAAGTGAAGACATTCATAAAAAAGAAGTATATTTCTGACAGTACAAATTTCATAAAGATAATTCCCAAGACAGTAAGAATATAAATTAAAATACTGTGTTTGTGCATGAACCAACAGTTTTCACTCACATTTCAATCATTCTCCTGCAAAATGACAATTTGTAGGTGAAACACTTTTCTTGGGCACTGATGGTGTAAGTCTCACTCTTTTATACATAAGTATCTAGTCAATATAAGGTTTCTTTGTTTTACTTTCATATATAAAAATTAGTCTTAACACAGAGCAGCAACCTCAAATTTTCTCATAATAAATAATTGTTTGTCGTAATGAAGAAACTGATTATTGTTTCTGGTTTACTCTGTCAGTCCCTGACAATCAGTGGCAGATCCAGGGAGGGGGGGGGTGGAGGCCACGCCCCCCCCCCCAATTTTTGTTTGATATATTCCTTTTCTTGGCAAAACTGATTTAAATTTTGATGTTAGAATTATGCAATTATTTGAAAAATAATATTGTATAATATCATATAAACACTACAAAAATAATATTCAATGCAATAACAAATATGTTTATTATTCAAAAATCTATGATAAAGTCCCAAATGATTGGCTGGATGTCACTGCTGAAAATACAATGAAAACTTTCTAAAAATGTCACAAAAATCAAAAGTATTCTTTTGTATGTTACATCAGATTAGTAAAAATGCATAAAACAAAGGTATAAGTATGACCAAAATTGTAATTTTTTGTATCTTTCTACATAAGAAAAACAATTCCAAATAAGGTGAACATTTTATATCCAAGTAATATTATTGTAAAAGAAGCAACTCAGCAAAAGCTGCAATAACATAAAATGGTTATTAAAATTAATTAGGGATGAAATGGACCAAATTGAATATAGCAAATCATAAGCCTTTGTATGTAGAAGTGTTTTTGTTGTTTAATGTAATAATTTATTAAATAAAGATAAACGATTACGAAAGTACACCACATGTAAATGGAAGCAATTGGATATATATACAACAACATAACAATTGAATATAATATATATTGTATTAATTAGCTAGAGTAGGATTCACAAAAAAATGTGGAACAAAATTAAACAATGACACCGTGAGGACAGAACAGAAAGTACCCTAACTCGTGAAGTGAAGAATTAAACAATCATGGACAAAAAAAAAAAAAAAAAAAAAAAAAAAAAAAAAAAAAAAAAAAAAAAAAAAAAAAAAAAAAAAAAGGTTCAAAAAGGATAAAACGTTTATGCGAATATATTCTTTAGACCTCATTAATATTTTGGGAAAAACAAAAATTATTTTTACAACAATCGAAAGATGTAAGAATTTTGATCCAAACCAACTTCAACATATTCCAGTTTCCTTGATCCCTTGAGCAAATGCTGAGATAGCCCCTTGTTTTGCTTCTGGACATAAATGTAACTTTATGGTCTGTGCACTTCTAGAGTTCAGTGGGAAATATATTTCTTCAAATAATTCTCCACATGAAGTATATTCCTTCATGAAGAACTTGGTGAAGAATAAGAACCCAAATCAATAGCCGATTATGTTTGAAAACACATTTTATTACATCAGAGGGAATATTTTGTTAACGAATCTTGCGAAAACTTCTCAATTCTTTTGGTATTCAGAATTCAACTTGAATATGGTTTAGGGTAGGGATCCCAGAATTAAGAAAACCTGCACAGAATCCACTTCTCACCGTAGCATGTCACACACAGTTTTTAACTCTTTTGACATAAAATAAATAAAAACAACAGACTATGGGTAAATCAATTATATAAGTGGTAAATGAAAACAACGGTAAAGATAATGCATAATTAAAGTTGCAGTGACAAGACAGCAAAGAATAATTATGAATTCCTGACATTAATATCAAATACCCAATTTCGGAAGTCTCACATATTCTAAAAACTTTTTTTCATTTTGTTAGAAATTAAATACTTTTTAATGTCACACTTATGCTAATTTTGCTCTCTCACTGAGTTTGAAAGTAGTACTATTGAAACAACTGTTCAAAACTAGTCTTGTATATTCACAGGTTCATGGCATAGAAATAAATTCTTGAGTTGGTTCGTTTTGTAAGAATTAATCAAATGGAGATGTGTGAATGGAGAGATTAAGTAGTATCAGTTACATGAAAACTCAACATAACCACAAACACTGTCAGTTCTTTAAAGAGAAAAATCAGAATTGATGTGCATTTCTCTGCAAGTAGTTAAAACAATTTACTTCTCGTGTCAGCAGAAGATATCTCTTTCAACTACGTGTGCAAACATTCAACATTTAGCAATGATAAAAATAAATTATTAAGAAATCTCTTTACTGAATGTCATCAACAAATGACTGATTAAGTAATAACTGGATGGATGTGTGAAGTGAGGGTGGCTTATCAACAGAAGTCTTCCTATTGAGTGATATACTGATGATACTGGAATGACAGAGGGAGGCAAATATGAGCTAACAGAAAATGATTTGAATCAAGTAGAATCTGGAAATTAATGATATCGATTTTATTTATATTCCATAATTAAGAAAACAATTAGGTGTTCAGAATAAGGGAATTTCTTCATATTACTACTTTTATGAAGAATCTCCAAACATTCTGAGCATTCTCTAAAAATTTGGGCGTGAGATGAACAATTCACGAAGATTAATATCATTAAGATTATTCGTACTCAAATTTGTTGTTTCAAAACATTTCCAGAACAAAGATTATGTCTCTTGACAAATTCAAATTAAATAAGTTATTTAAAAGATTCACATATTGTGGAAAGTTCTCTGGCATCCATCAGGCTGGACAAACTTCTTGGTTTTTTGTTATTTTGACGACTTAGATACAGTATGGAAGTGTTTTACTCGTTTTCTATCTATTCAATCTTGATCTTCACCTGAACAGTCAATGATTTTAGCTTTCTAACAGTGAATGTCAGATTGAATGTAATGTTTATTGTCATTAAACACTACTTCTTTTTAATAAGTAATGCATTTATAGCAATGTTAAAAATGTTTTATACTAGTAACTCTTGCAAAATTTAAGTAATGCTGAATTAGAAATTTTTTGACACAGATAAAGAGAGACCATTACAGAGTAATTTCCACACCTACAACCTGTAGATGAGAATTCCTGGATCACACTTGTATGCCAGATACAGTATAAACTCTGGGTGTTTGGTTTAATCAAACACAAGACTTAAGTCATTGCCTTAATTAGCTCCCAAAATTTTCAAAAGACTGTTGTAGGTGACATTGAGTAGCAAATTATGTTTTTATCTACACTCTTGGTAAGTTTTCATAATTAAAGTAGATGGAAAGTGATGAAAGACTGAATAAATAATAATAATAATAATAATAATAATAATAATAATAATAATAATAATAATAATAATAATAAATCAAATAATGAGTCACACCTTTACAGTATTTACTGATAAAAACTACTTCCTCCATTTCACTTGTAATTGGAATTTCAACCTAATAAAAACTTATTGATCCAAAATAATATGTAAAAAGTTTACATTTTTGACTGGCTTTATAATCAAGTTTCCATGGATATTTATTAATTAACATCAAAAACTGTAAGAATTGTACATGACATTTGGGAATTGGAGAGATCTAGAAATGCTGTTCTGGCCTTCAGTCTACATTTAAAATAAAACATACATCAGTCTGTTCATTGCATAATTGGCCTTGAACACTGTTAAGCACCAGTCTTTGTTAATGGCATAAGTGTAATGAATCATCTCGGTTTCCAACAGTATTCACTAACCTCACACAATTCATTGCCATGATAGCTGTGTTGTGCACCTCAATTGCTATATGGTTGACAATATGGCTTATGAAAACTAACAATTGGTTGGCAACACATTTCATTCAATGAAGTATGAATGCAGCCGAAGACTCCTTAAATAGGCTAAGCCACTCTTTCTGACCAGAATCAAAACAAGGAACCATCTCAGCCCTTGCGCCATTTATCAGCAAGAAACTGGGTGGAAAATGCTGAATGAGATGGAGTCATAACATAGTAACAATTAGATTTAATCTCCTGCAGTAAACACTTAAATTCCACACTTACTTTCAATCTTTCTAAATATAGCAAAACTTATTGATAGGAAAGACATGATGACTGGTGTTGATTCACAACTGGGCATATTGAAATCAACTGGAAATGCTCCAAAACTTTCACAATTTCTTATAGATGACATTCAAAGGATTGCAATTTGTGGTGAGAGGAAAAAAAAATCAAATAGGCTGAGGAAAAAAACTAGTCTACATCAACACAGACGAAAACAACAAATCATTGTTATTAATGAAACAATGAGTTGATCCGGTGGCCGAGATCGCTAAGGCAGTAGTGCCATAGCGATCTCGTACCGAAAGATCGCGGGTTCGAGTCGCCGCCTTGGCATGGTTGTATTCTGTTCGTCCTTTCCACCCCTATCATTCATCATCCTCCATCTCTCATGATCACCTTTCTGAATAACATTCAGAATTGTAACTTGAGGATTTATCCTCCCTCAAGGTGATACTTCGACAGTCGACCAGGAACAGTAAAAGTGAAGTGGAACGACTCAAGTGGTCCAATGTGGCCAATCAAGTTAATAATAATATAATAATAATAATAATAATAATAATAATAATAATAATAATAATAATAATAATAATAATGAAACAATGAAATAAAAATGCTCAATTAGAATTATTTTATTTATCACAGTTATTCATTCAATACGAACATTGGAATCACAGTATTATTCATGTTCAATATTAGAATTGATTCAACTTACTTATTTCATGAAGAAAGAAACAGTAAAAACTCAAATCATAAATTAAATCTTTAAGTTCAACAAGTAATTGAATATTTCCTTTCAGAATTTATAAATACATGTTCATTAAAACTGCATATTTAACATACTTCTCATGTATTCTGTGTACTGAATATATTGACTCATTTGCCTAATTTGTGCTAAGTAAGCTTGCTGATTTTGCAGCATATTATGCCAATACATATTTTCACAGCAGGGTTGTTGGTTTGAGTCACCAGCTGCCATTGTGTCTACCAAGGGGCCTGACAAATGAAACGTTTTCTGACCTGCAACACAACCAGGTTCTTCCATATAATTCTTTTGATAATTTGGATGGCTGTTAGTCCAATAATTATAGTTTTTGTAGTCTGCACCAACATTACACACACTACTAGATGTAAAGTCTCGTCTGCTAATTCTCTCTGGTTGATGATATGCATTGTTTACTTCAAACTCATTATCACTTTCACTATCGCTCTCGCTTGGACTATCATTGTAGTTTAAACATGAATTTCCATTTACAATATTTGCATCCGAAAAACTGTTGTCAGTAAACTTGCACTTCACACCTTGATTTCCTTCTACTAGTTCTTCACTTTCTTTTTCATTACTATCTTCAATTTTTTGTTTCATTTCACTGTTTAGAGGAAAATTATAATTGAACACTGGATTGGAGTCAACACACATCTGAAATGACTTAATTAGACTAGACTTCTTTTGACTTGAAACAGGTTTCTGGGTTATCATCTCTTCAGATTTGTCTTGATTGGATTTAGATTTTTTTGATGAATTATTCATTTTGGGAAGATTTCCTGACACTAGTGTCTGTAATAGATGTGAGACACTCAAAGTGTTTGTATTGTTTCTTACTGCATTCAGCTTAGACTGAAACATGTTCTCCTGAATATTTAGCAGAGCTTCTATGTTATTTTCCATATTAATTTCATCATTGTAAGAATCAGATACAACTTCTTTGCTATCCACTAACACGTCTTGCTTGTAATTTCCATTTAAAAACTCATCATAACTTTTTGGAACAAATTTACGACACATGCATTTTGTACGGAAAGATTGAGCTAATTTATTCAGAATTTCTTCTTTCTTATCTTCTTTGGATGATTCTTGCACTTCTAAGGATAGATTTTCAACAATATTTACCAATTCTTCATCAACACTTTCCTCCTCTTTTTCATTAGAATTTGCTACTTTAGAGATACTACTGTCCAAAGAAAATTGCTCCACAGAATTCTCCTTTTCAACAGAGAAAGGTAACATTTCAATTTCTTTTTCTCTTATGTTACTAGCTATCCCACCCTTCTTTTTATTATTCTTTTTCTTTTTCTTAATACCATTTTGTTCATTATTTACAATTTCACTCTGTGATGTTTGCCTCTCAGATTTTCCTGAATCTTTATTCTTTATTTTTGAAGACTTCTCTGAAGGTTTCAAAATACCATTCACTTTAGCAAATGACGAATCATCACAATTCCACATGTTAGGCACTGGGTCAGAAGGAAATCTTAATACACTCATTTCCTTTCCACCAATGGAACCTAACAACTCTTGAAACTTTTTAAGATCATCACCATCGCTAACAATCGCAATAGCTATGCCATGCGAGCCATACCGCCCAGCTCTTCCAATTCTGTGAAGATACGTAGCAGAATCAAATGGAATATCTAAATTGATAAGCAAATTAACATTTTCAGCATCAATTCCTCTAGCGGTCAAATCCGTTGAGAGAAGAACACGGCATCGGAACTCTCGTAAGCTGTTCACAGCATCAAGACGTTCTTGCTGGCTGAGACTGCCTGCGACCCACAGAGCAGGCCAACCGTACTGGTTTAGTTGATAGCAAATACTCTGCGCTCTGCAAAGGAAACATTTCTTCAAACATAATTGTTGAAAGCAAATACAAGCTTCTTTCAGTGATTTAACTTCAAATTTTCGTTGCAGGAAGACAATAAAAGTATATAATAAATATTAACTTAGAGTAGGATAAATTAGATAAACTTACAAAAGTTAGTTTTATAAATTAATTTAACCTCCGAACAAGTATCTGGAAATTTTTTGAAAAAAGTTCCTTCAAGTAAATTTCTCCTCTGTTGTTCCATAGTGTAGAATTAATTATTCAAATTTTCACTGCATAGCTTTGTTACTTGTCCCAATATTCCCTTCCTTTCTACAAGACTACTTTTTAAAATTAAGCGTATGTACCATGAGGATATAAGATGGCACTAAATAGAGAATGTCTTTTATTCTTCCTTAAAAACAATTCTTCATGGTAAGAACTCTACAGTTTCAATACTTTTTTGACTGGTTTTCTTTTCTGACTTATAATAATTCTTTCTTTTCAGCAACTTCTTGACAGACTATTTTAGAACCCCTGATGATGGACAAAAGTTTTCCTGACGCATGTTTTGAGTTTTAATCTTTATTAAAATTTAATTGTGACTAGTTTATCTCATTTATCATACTCTATTACCAAAAGATCTCAGCTGCCACCTCAGAATTCATTTAATTTACATTTTACACAATTTTTTATTCACTATAAATAATAATAAAATGATTCATTAAGATTTCATTTTTATAGGAAGGAAGAACTAGGTTTGTGAGACAAACCAAAAATGTAAAACATTGAAATAATTCCTAGTAAAGAATTAAACATCAATTTTATGAAATTCTGAATAGAAACCAAATTGAAAGAGGACTATTGTTAGATTTAAGTAAGTTATTGTCGCATTATAACACTTCACATTTCATTTTTTAATTTTCACATTTCAAGATTCTAAATCAAACAGCTGATGTTAAAAATACTAAAAATCAAGCATATTACTTATTTTTAATGAAGATAAAAGTTGTCTGACATGCAAGTCATACAAATCAAGTTTAATTCACTACTGTGTGTCAATGATGCCAAGTCAAATTTCCAAAATACTTCAAGAATAATAATAATCTCACAAAATATATTAAATAATATTGAGAAAATGTTCATATGAGAAACTTTAAAGTATTCATTCTTTGCAAATTTTAGAAATTATTTGAAAATTTCAAGCATTATACAAAATAAAGTAAGGAAATATATCAATAAAAATAAAGCAATGTATTGGAAGAAGAAAAATGTTGAATACAACTTTATAATAAAAATGTTGAAGAGTAAAATTGGAAAGTTAGAGAAAGAAAAGCATAATAACACAGCCAATAAACATCATTGTAATCTGTAAAGAAAATAAATATAACATCATTTATACACATCAAAATTACCTGGTTTGATAATTTGTGAAGATGAGACATTGTTTGAAGTCAACAGATGATAGGATTCTAACAACTTCTTTTAACTTTATTTTCATTTGCATCATGGAACTGATGTGTGGTGGTACAATAGATACAAACTGTTTAATGCCTCTTAAGACAGGTCCTTCATGCCCTGGGCTCACGTGCATTGGATAACGCATGTACGAACAAAGAAATTTGTCTAGCTCATCAGGGTAGGTGGCACTAAATGCCAAGGTCTGTTTCTCTTCAGGAAGTGTGCCAAATATGAAGCTGTCAAGTGAAAGACATCGACGATCAATGAAATTATCATTTCTCGCACAAACATTTAAATAAACTCCATATGCATTTTCTATCAAGACATATTAATTTAGAACAAAAATCAATGAATAAAAATGAGAAAAGGAAAACTGGAAAGTGAAAATAAAACTGTATAAAATTTTGTTAGAAAAGTAACCATTTTTGCTGAAAATGGAGACACCACAAAGTTAAAAAAATTTAATGAAAATTTGAATATCAATTAAAAAATTACAACTCATTTTTGGGAGTTTTATAAGACAAATAACTATTGAAAGTACTCCATGTCACATTACTTTTCGTAACTTAATTAATTTCAAGAAGACATTGAATTTCCCAATCACATTATTATTCCACTGTTTTGCTGTCATTTTTTGGCTTCTAATATAGGTTATGTAAGAGAAAGAACTTACTTAATATCTTGTTGAAAACTTGATTCCATTAATTTATCTGCTTCATCCAAAACAAACAGATTTATGCCAGTAGTTTTCATATATCCCTTTTCAATCAGGAATTTCACACGTCCTGGTGCTCCAACAGCAATATGACAGCCAATAAGATTTGTTAAGTCATCAGCAACAGGAAAACCACCAATAAAAGTTTTCACATTCAATCCTAAACAATAAATAATTTTGTGAAAATGGCATGTATATATTTTTCAACTTCTCTCACAACAATCCTCATATATTCACGCACTTAACAACAGATTTTGTACAAGTGATTTTCCTTCTTTGTCTACTAAGAAATAAGCCTTAATCTCGCAAAGTTCACTAAACAGAAATCCATTATAAACCAGTCACATTTTCTAAATGATTGCGAGCATTTTTAAAAAGAATGTATACACTACATCCATTAATTTACCTTTAATAGGACGTCCAAGAGAACAAAAAACTTGCTGTATTTGTACAGCTATCTCTCTAGTTGGCGCTAAAACCAAAACTTGAAGAGACGAATTTTCAACATTTATCATTTCTAATGCAAGAACTGTGAAAACTGCAGTTTTTCCAGTTCCACTCTTTGCTTGCACTACCATGTCTGGAATTGAAATTATGTTTAAAAATGTTGGCACAAACTTTTGATAATTTTTTAAAGTGATTTACAAAACAACATTTTATATCAACTCATTTCTTTACCGAAACCACATTTTCCGATAGGAATTGCTTTTAATTGAATGGGAGAGGGTTTTCGAAAGCCACTTTTCAGGAGACCACTCAATGTGTTTTGTGACAGCATCATTCCATTGAAATCTATATCTTCGTGGATAGCCACATCTTCGGTACGATTTGTACCCTCCAGTTTATGAGCAACTCTTCGGGGCATTTTTGAACGTGTTGTCACAAATTTACAATACAACGTCACTTTCACATAACCTAATACCGAACGTGGGGCCTAGTAAAGCAAAAAATACACCCGTACACAAGAACGTACTTTCCGCTTCTATGAATACAATGTAGCCAACATAAACAACAAAAACTGAAACTCTACCAACTGAATTGAAAGCGGAATTTTTGAAAGGAAGTTGAGATACTAGGCATACATACTGGGCAATATACCTATATTCACGACGAGTTTGGTCGTCGACGGAGGTCGGCCGAGGTTTATGTCGTTTATATTGGTGAATGAGAAAGAAGTTATAAAATATTTTTCTGGAGCTTGGATGTTAATGAACGTCCTTGCCAGAAATACTGGGTTTTCAAGTATTATTGTTCAGTGAGTGAATACGTGAATACAACACGTTTATACGTGAGTGAAAACGCGCTCGAATAATTTTCACATTGCGTTGTAATTTACTTTCTCATTCATTTCCAAGTCGTCATTGACCAACGTAAGAGACTGCAAATAAAGATATGAAAAATGTTTCAAGAAATATTATTAAAACTAAGTAAGCTAATTTTTCGAAATGTTCCGCTAATGTTAGATTTAAAGTCCAAAATTTCACAATGCACCAATCCAAAAAAAGTTAAACTATTTAAATGACTATTATTTAGGATTTTTTGATTAATAGAGTTTCCGGGAGAGTCGACGGCTGACCTCATTATTCCCGTAAGCATAGTAAATGTTTGTATCATGTTAGATGATTTCGCTCCTCTGGAATGCGAAATCTGGCGCCGACCTACAAGTTGGTTTGCTGCGTTTTCTCCGATTAGGTATTTCCCATCAGCTGCAGCGGGACAGGCTACAAGCTCCCGATTGGTCACGCGACATGTGTGGTAGAGTAGTTCATGTAAGTATAAGTAGGAGGTGAAGATAGGTCAAGGAAGAGGAAGTGAAGTTCGCGCGCGGTCCGCGGCGTGTTTGTTAGGGCACTGCTCCAACATTCGTCTGGAGGTGATCGGAGAAACCACGGAAAACTACAGAGCAGCCGATAGAAATCTCCTCAAGACTCAAGTGTCTGAATTCTTCCTAGGAATGAAGAGAGTGTCAAAAATCCTGCCACCGCTGGGATTGGAACCCTCATCGGGCCTACAATACGTGCGGGCCCAGGTAAAATAGGCTCTATTTTTTACCCTGAAGGTCTTGCGATTGTAAGAAGTATTTATTACTTAATACTTTCTGATACTTTGCGATATTTGATACAATAAAATATTTAAAATATTCTGGAAAAATATTTTTTTCCGCTTCGTAGCTTAAGTAACCCTGATTGTAAATCAATACAATTTGTTAGTAACATTGATTTCTTAGGTTGTACTCACAGACTGATGAATAAGGATATTTTTTTTTATTTAAAGTAGTAACACTACTTGTGTTTGGTATACACTTTTAAAAAGGGGGCCCAGATAAAAGTTTTGCGGGTGGGACTGCACTCGTTTCATTACGCTGCTGCCTAAAACCTTCCGGCCAGAGGCACTGCAGGGACACCAACAGATGTCCTGAGCCTCTTAAGTCAATGGTACGCTAGGAATGCACACCATGCCACAACACACAACTTCCGTGTCTTACGCGAGATTCGAACTACCTGGATGTAACGCTTTGCTTGGACGCAAAGTCCCTGCGCAATCGATGGTCAGAAATGGAAAGAAGAGGGTTATAAGACAAATGAATCGTTGATTTGAAAAGGAAGTTGGCATCTGGGTCATTTGAGTTCTACACGAAAGTTGTTGAACTAGTTATTGATTGCTTGGGCTACACTGTAACTTCAATTTCGCATTTCTGTTATGGACAGAACAGTTTTTATAACTTGAACTTATTTCCTTTATAAAATAATTATGGAATTTTATAACAAAACATTTTTTATTCAATTATTTTTGGACTTACGAAACAATATAATCTATACTATTGTAATAAAAGTGAATTCAGCGATATGTAACCGACATTGATTCCACAAAAAGTGGAAAAATGAATGGATACGAGATGTTTACTAGTCCTTCTTCAGGATTGTCGCAGTATTGCAAAGTTTAATAACAATTAATACAACGGTACCGCGGAAAATAAATAATTTAAATAGTAGGTGCACCAAGACAATTTTTCGCATTTTTTTGAAGAGCGTGTGGTTTCTATTTAATTCCGCCAGAGGCCATTACGGGTGCAGCAAAACAGGCTACATGGGTGACTACGAGGTTGGCTTCTAATAAATGCCGCCAGAGGCCAATAGTGATGCAGCAGTACTGCTACCTAATTTTTGAAACGCTAGAGGCCAGAAGCAGTTTTTTTTTAAAAATAAATCTATTAGCACTGAACTGTGAAATAAAATGAAAGAAAAAATATTTTATTAAAATTTGAACCAATTTCATTAAAAATAATAAACATAATGGTTTATATAAAATTGATTGTTTTCCACTTTCACAAATATTGAATATGAAGAAATTCTTTGCAACGCTAAGCATTTTGCTAGTCTTATAATAAATATATAATGATGTGAATAAACATACTGTTCTATATAGACATAAAAATACTCTTGCTAAATTAATAAGATCAGCATCTACTCATTATCGATTTTCACTTGAGCCTGTGGCTACGTCAAAACTTCTGGTAGAAATGGAGATACTCATGTGGGATGTATTTTAATATTTTTTGAACATCGGTTATTTTCTTTCTGCTGATTAGGAGAACAGCTGAGACAAACTTTCTTAAAATGGGTATCTGGACGTGCCTTGCATTTTACCAACACTTATAAGTACTTGATAAGTCCATCAATAGATGTGCCAAGAAGTAGTCAAAATATTCTCTATCATACGTTAGATGCTTTACTTGAAAAGAGTCACACTAGGCTCACAATGAAGACTGCCAGAAAGAGCAAGAGATTCTGTTGTCTTCTTAAAATAGTTCAACCACAAGGTTTTGAAGTCTATGATGACCTCAGTGTCTATTACTGTTGTCATGAAGCATTTAGGAGTTTCCTAGCTGATAATACTAGTTCTTCTGAGCGAGGATCAGAAACTAGTTTTTGGACTTCTATCTCATTTTCAGACATTATAATTTTTAGTTGGCAATTGCTGCTTGTGACCCATCCTAGAGGCAAATTATCATTGATGTATTTGATATTTTGGGTCGATAGTCTGAGTTTGCCGACCAGGTAACGGCGTCTCCCATGCTTGGGCCTAGTTAAATTCCCATGTTTGGGAGTAAGAGCGAGATGTGACGAACATAACATATTCCCTTCGCCGTAACTAGCAAGATCCTATTCTTCTTCTTCTTCTTCTTCTTCTTCTTCTTCTTCTTCTTCTTCTTTCTTCTTCTTCTTCTTCTTCTTCTTCTTCTTCTTTTTCTTCTTCTTCTTCTTCTGTACTCACCACAATCATAACAGATGTTGGAAGTGTTGTCCCCTTCACTTGTTTCCCAGTGATCTGGTTGTCACGAAAATAAATGAAGGCTTTGATTCGGTTTGGTGCGGAGACACTTTCTGGCACACTAAACCAACAGACTGAAACTTTGGCAACCCTGAGATAAAAAGCCGTGAGCGGCCACTGATAAGACGCCGAGAAATTCTTTAAGCTGAAGGTGAATTAATCGCTACTCACTTTGGAAACTTGTCCTAATACTATCCTAGTAGAATCGCGTGTTACTAAAAGTGGTTTAGTGCAAAATTCTTCAGGGAGAGCCTGAATCAATAACGGTGTAATTAATTTAGCTGAGCACTTTTAATCGCTGTCATCCTGCGTGACACAACCCGCCTGACTTTTATGCGTTAACATGTTCCGTGCAGCCACGACCCCTGTAATCGTAATATCACTTTAATATTAGCTGGGGCTGGGACACCGACGAGAAGAAGAAAAGCGAGGAGGTGGAGAAGGAGGAATATAAACAGGTAAAGAAAGAAGAAGTAGAAGACGAAAAATGATAAGAAAAAAATTGAGAATAAAGAGAAAGAGAAAAATGAAGTGAAATAGAGGAGAGGGAAGAAGAAGGTAGGAGTAGAATGAGGAAAAGAAGAAAGAGAAAGAACTGTTGACTTATCCCAATACGGCGTGCTCTGTTTTTACTAAACAAATAATGAATTTTACCCACTCTTACTACCCGATACTTCAGAGTCTCGGAAGCTAGTCTAGGTTATTAAATTTTAACAGAATCCAGTTTTTGCTTTCTTTACCTTAGTACTTGTGCTTGCCATATATATTCTTCGAAAGAACGGTTAAACGCCGTGTGTATCTTCCCAATTATAAGAAGGTATGTTTTTCTCCAGCCTCATAAGTAGGAAAATAGTTTTGAGTCGAGGCTCCTTTTCAAAAATGTAGCTGTTTTCATACTGTAATGGACCACACAGGCGCAATTATTCGTGTAATGCGCCGCTGAGTCACACTATCATAAAGAGGGGGGGTTGCCATCACACTTAAGGTGCGATGGTCGTTTACAAACACCAGGATGCATGCGCTGAATTTATTGAGGAGGGCGCCAAGCGTATGCCTTACCTGTGATCTGAGCACCGGCGTTGAGACATCATCAGGGGTGGGCACCCTGGGTCGAAGGATTGTATTTGCTTACTGTTTATAAATAATACACTTTCTTTGTGATCACCCGACCAAAATGACGGGGATGCGTTTATTGCTATAGAAATGTGTCTCTTTTACATTAGTGCTCCTTCTAGTGCTTTACGCTGGTTATTGACTAAAATGGCTGTGAACACTTACAGAAAATGGTGATGATAGACATTCTGCTACCTCGCTCCGAAAGGATTACACATCCAAATAACGGCTGGCGGCAGCAGATGACCCGTTGAAGTACCATGGGAGTCTCCTGTAGTCGGCAGGAACACAACGCCTGGCTGAGCTGGAGGGCGTCCACGGTCGTCCGCGAAATGGAAGCGTTAGTTTTTTGATGCGCGGGTGTCAGGTCATCATACGTCGTCTTGACCGCATATTATCATTGCTAGCCGGATAATTGTGCTGCACACCCTCTCGTGTAATTTATGGGTGTTACTCCTACTTAATTAGTATAGTATAGTATTTGTGGGATGAAATCGAGCGAAATAAACACATTTTGCTGCACCTTATCGTGAGATTACTATATTTCCCCACATTTTTCCTCTTTTTTATGCTTCAGTACCTTTTTTAATTTTATTTTTTTAAATTTATGGTCGCATCAACAGCTAGGTCATTAGCGGCCACTATAGATTAAATATATGGTTAACAGTATGATGTGATA